TGAAAAATTGGTGGAATTCTTGAAGATCTCGCGTTCTATGTGTACTATGTGTACTCTTACAGGGTATTCGGCTCATAACTTATGCAACATGCGTCGCAACAGAAGCAGCTGAAACGGCGACAGTTAACGGCACTTTTCCTATAAGCCAAACACAATACCAAACACAATCGAGGCCTCAGACCAAAGTCGTCTGCACATGTTGCTTGAATTTTTATAACACGCTGCTAACAAAAGCGATTCCCGATTAATTACGAATGTGTTGAATAAATTCTCGTAATATTCGTATTTAAAGTTGCGTTGCGTTCGTCGCACCCAAATGAAAGGCCCCATAATTATTTATGGAACTTTGAATGCGGGCATTACGAGAAAAAAATTAATGCGAAAAGGGTATTTTTGTAAAACTGACAACAGCATTTTCCCCAGTTTCTTTTCTTTTATTTTTAAATAAGCTGATGGACGAACAAGCAGATTGCATTTAATGAAAATCATGAGAGAGAAAAACTTCTGCTCAATACAAACAGATTTGTCTTCAATTTATTTGACAGTGTTGTAAAAGTATCGAATAGAAGTAGGAGAAGCCTTGCTGCTCAAGTTTTCGTAATCCAATATTAATAAGTCGCACAGTTGTACCGAAATCGATAAATATCGATATACCCTAATCGATAAATACCATTAGAGAGCTAATTAAGTCTTTATATTCGAATTATTGATAAGTCGCAAAGTTCTACCGAAATCGATAAATGTCAATGTTAGTGTATAATAATCGAATTATCGATAAGTCACACAGGTTTACTGAATTAGAAACATATCGATAAGTGAGAGCTGATCAAGTGTTTATAATCGAAATATCGACAAGTGGCGCAGCATTTAATAAATTCGATACATATCGATCAGTGAGAGCTGATCAAGTTTTTAAAATCGAATTGTCAAAAACTCACGTAGCTTTATCGAAATCGCTAAATAATGATATTTGAGAGCTGATCACGTGATCGAATTATCGATAAGTCGCACAGCTGTGCCGAAATCGATAAATATCGATTGACTTTTTGATTCGACTTTGAGTACAATGTATGCCTACTTGAAGACCTCAAAATATCATAAACATCGAACTATAGCAGACAGATTTTGACTACTATTCCAAATATTTGATTGAGAGTAACAAATATGTCAGCTGCGTTTGCTGTGCTGCTAACAGGGTATCTGCTAGTCGAGCTTTTCTTTCAAGTGCCTTGATAATTGTTGTTGTTATTTTTTAAACATAATATATTATCGATTGCATGCCAGACCGAAGATTGAGACAGTTCCGGCTGGATTTTTGCGGCAACTCGGATCGGATTTACTTAATTAATCGCCAGGTCAGCTTATGAAGCCGCAGCAGCTTTTAATAGTTGTGACATCAAGTGGCAAATGATAAATAAAATAATGCAAAAAGTGCAAGAGGAAAGGAAATAAATCGAATTGAATAAATGCGAAATAAGCGCAATAAATTTTAATCGCTGCGTTAAGCATTTGCCATTTGTCGGTTCCGTGTTGTTGTTGCTGCCAAAACTGTTTCGCTTTTCATAATTGTTATTATTATTTATATAATTATTATTATTAATATTATGATTGAGATGGGGCAGGGCTCCGCCTTGCAGCTGTTGCACTGATTATAATGCAAATTATTTATATAATGCGCTGCACAGAAAATGCATTTTTTTTGTTCTGCTCTTTTTTTTAATTTTTTCTGTCGTTTTTTTCCCTCTACTTTTTGCGAATCGCATAATTAATTGTTGTCATTCAAGTGACAAACAATTAAATAATAAATCAGTTTTTAAATAATTGCGCAATTATGTTAAATGGACACGCGGTCACAATTCCAGCGAGTGGGCGATAGGAAAACTCCCTCAAGTTAAACACTTGACTCTGTGAACCGCTCGACCCCAACATATTTTTTTTTGCGCTCTAGAAATTCAATTCAAGCTGTGATTCATGTGAAAGAGCATGTTTGGGCAAGTTTAAATACTCTGCACTAATTTACTAAGCTCTCTTCTATCTGGAAGTTGAACCAGCAAGCGGAAAGTCGCTGGTTCAAATGTTACAGAATTGTTAAATTTAAATCTATTTAGATTTTATTCACTCAAAAAAGACAATTATAGTGCATACATTTGTAGGAAAACCCTATTTGTAGGGCATATGTAGGGTATTTGAAAAATAAACGAAAAGTCGCTAGTTCAAATTTCAAAGAAATTAGCTATTTTTAAACAATTATTTAGTTTGATTTGCACCAAGAAAGAAAAGCAATGACATCACGGCGTATTCCCTCACATAACCTAATAGCCCCCACCCAAACGTAGGGTATACGAAAAAGTAATAAGTAAAATGGGAAATTGAATTACGCTTTCTGTAATTGCAAACACATTTGTAACAATAAACTAATGTAATGCAACAATAACAATTGCCAAATGGCCGTTAAATAGAATTTTACCAAATTTATGACACACACACAAAGCACAAAGCCATGCGCCCAACACTGGCACTGGCGCACACTCAATGCACATTACTCAACACTGGAGCGACAAGCGGCCAAACAGAAGGCTCCTATTACAATTGTCAGCCATTGTTCAAGTTAGTTATGAACACTTGGCCAAATGTTAAGGCCAAAGCATTGTTAAAAGTAGAAATCAGCCCCCCGCATCTCTCTCTCATCATCTCCCCCCTCTTCGCCGACGAACCGTCCCCTTGGGCTGGTCAAGCATTCGCTCCATTTAGGGGCATCGCGTTGGCATTTTCAATGGAAATTTAATGAATTCGCCGCGAATCAAACATTAATTCTCTATAATTACCCACAATCGAGAATCAAGAATCGAGAATCGACAGTTCGCATCGGAATTCGCTTTGTGGAGCGCCGAACTAACGGTAGCTAATGCTCTCTCGACACCATTGTCATTGATATCGGATCCGATCGGATCTAAACGAATCGGATCGGATCGGATCGGATCTTGGCCAAATGTGAATGTCGCTCCGCACAGTTGACTGAACTTGCGACTGGTTTTCCATTTCCACGCCGTCTTCTGTGTGTGTTCTGTGTGGCATGCCACTCGCTGTCGCCGCCTTGTAATCAAGTCAAATGACGCCCTGACATGGTCAGTTACCGCAGCAGCAGCAGCATCTACTCCAACTGGCTGCTCTTTAGCAGCAATCAGTGGGCATCGCGTGTGGCATGCCACATGCCGCATGCCACCAGCTCAGCTGCTGCACAACCAACTTAATCAAAGTATCAGCAATTGCAATTCATTTCGCACAGATAACCACAAATTGTTTATCAATTGCGATAACTAAAAATTATTCACGACTTTCAAATTGATCAATTGCCAAATGCTCATTAAAGCGCTTTGCGAGGGCTCTTCATAAAAAATTCGTTTATTTAAGTCTAAATATTCGAGAAATTATAGAATAAAAATTCGAGCAATAAATCTATAAAAATTCAATTCGTATTCATTTTAGAAAAAAATTAATTTACAAAGAGAAAATCCGAGTTAAATTCCATTTGGCATCAGTTTGGAGACTCCAAAATCTGGACAGAAATCTTCTTTGAATAGTTAGGATACATAAACTTTAAGCGAAAATATTGTGTTCAGCTTTCTCTCTCTCTCTCTCTCTCTCTCTGTCTCTCTCTCTCTCTTCCTCTCTCTTCCTCTCTCTTCCTCTATTTCCATGCTTACCCCCATCCCTGTTTCTATCTCTATATCTATTTCTTTCTTATATTCTTTTTCTAACTCTTTCTCTCAACTTATTATAGACGGAATCTAACTTTCTAGATCCTACGGTTTGTCCTTAGATCATTTTAGGATAACGAAGTTTACATGAATGTAGACTAGATTTAAATTGTAGAATTTATCTGCTTAGAACCGAAATTCATCTAAAAGCAAAATCATAATCAACTAGCTATTCCATTGGACAGAGTTATGATAGTTTAACTATATATGGGATTGTCTAGGGATGGGTTTAAATATTTCACAGTAATTTCGACAAAGTATTCCCCTTGCAAACTTAAATGTAGAATCATTCTGGAGATTCAAGCGTTATTCCTCAACAAAATAGGTTTAGTTTGGCTCAAGCTCTGTCAGCTTAAAGTCTGGGATATGGCCAGACATCTGTTTTGGGGAAGATTAAATTTTACATAGTATCCAAGCTTCTGTCATCGGCGGCTGTTTTATATATATAGTTTGCACATGCTGCTAAAATCCATTCGGGCTTCCTCATTTCGCAAAACATCTCCATAATAAGTAATGCCCATTTCCAGCTCGGTTTTTGGCTTAGTCAACTTTTTTCGTAAACCCATTTTGTGGCAGCTTCTGGCTGCTACTCATGATCGGAGAGGCGAGAATGCAGTGCAGTGTGGGGGGGATCACATATATATCTGCCAGGTTATCCCCGACGCATTGTTTCTCAGAGCTGCGTATGACTCATGGGATCTACGGCTCGATATAAACCTCACAGAGAACATAAAATTATAATAAAAAAAAAGTATACAAAATTGAAAAGGCAAACAAAGCGCGCCCCAACATGACGATGCCTGACTCATAAACGGGGCGGTGGGTGGTGGGCGTGGCACAGCGGGTGCTCAGCTCCTCAGCATAGCTTGTAATTAGCCGAGTAAGAGTGGAGCGGGGGGCAACTGTTTTAATGAGGGGCGTCCAAATGGAAGGTACATTAAATGTTTTTATTTTCATTGATAAGCTACACAAATATGAATTTTACGCGTAAGCCCAAGCACTTGCCTATTGGGGTCAGGCATAAGCGTAAAATTGTCATAAATATGTGTACAGTAAACACTCTGCTGACGGACAAGGGAAAAGTTTGTTGTAATTTTTGCGCGCTTCAAAAACGATTTGGACTTAAAAATTAACCAACATTAAATCTAGATACAATCTACAAATTATGATTTCGTTTTCCAACACTCTTTTCTCTTATTAGCTATATTAGCTCGTACTGTACTCGTTTAATGGCAAACTTACCGTTAATGTTGTTGTCGGTTATCGATAAACAAAGTCAAGGTAATCCCAAGTTTATATTGCCGTTGATACGGTGGGAAATATGTATTTCAAGCACGTGTCATACGTATATGGTACACAAACACACAAAGCACAATGAACAGTTGAGGGGGTGTAGGGGGTTGGGACACCCGCTTAAATATATTTATGTATATTGTAAATAGTTTTACACTGGAGTAACGGTAAACAGCGAACACACGAAAATACGTAAAACCGGGTGAATGAATTGTCGTTGTGAATGAAACGCGACGATCGCTGCGTTTGCGTCTGCGTTGTTCGAACGTTTGCGGCCGAATGACTGTGCCGAGGCGTCAACGTTGCTAACAGACAGCGCTGCCGTGTGAAAGAGCGTAAGCCACTGAGAGAGAACCAGAAGAAGAGAGAGAGTGAGAGCGTGAGCGAGAGAGAACACGCGCTATCAGCCTAAGCGCAGCTGCTGCTGCGCCCAGGCTGCGGCTGCCTCTGACTCGGTCTCTGCGTTATTGTTGTTGCTGCTCTTTCAGCTCTTGTTGTTGTTGTTGTTGTTTGCTTATTCATATTGTACACAAAGTTCGCATAATGCAGCGCATTGTTCGCCCCATTGCTTGTTGTAGTTGTTCGTGGTGGTTTCTGGTTCTGCCGCTGCTTCTGCTTTCTTGCTGTGTTTCTTATCACACGCTCTGCCGTGACGTATGGCACAGCTGTGTGCGCGCTCACCTAAACCGGTAGCAAATGTGCACAGAGCACAACAACAAGGCGAGTGCGAGCGTGTGAGCGTGCGATCTTTGCTCTCTCTCTCTCTGTCTCTCTCTCTCTCTCTCTCTGCCTTTCTTATGTTGGGCATGCGCGGCATTCCATACATTTTGAATGCTCAGCTGTCGTGATTTTCTTGATCCCTTGAGTTGTTCTTGTTCTTGTTGCTATTATTATTTTGTCTCTTGTTCTTGTTCTTCTTCTTCTTAGTCTGCGTCTGCTCTTGCTTGCATAATTACACAAATTTTTGGCGCTTATTTTTGCATTGTGTCATTTGCACACGTTAATTGGGCGTGCTGCGAGGGCTGTTCGAACAGTTTGCGTAACTCTGTTACAAAACGCTGGCATTTCCGTTACGAAACATTTGTTATTATTGATAAGTTAACGGGTATGGCGCAAGTTTTTTTTTTTTCAGCTCTGAATGGCTGATTAGATTCTCAATAGTTTATGGCCAGTTGTGTACACATTGAGGTAGCTGCTCAAGCAGCCAGACATGCACACACATACATACATACACACATGTATATGCATATGTATATGTATGTTTATTGTCGAACGACTTTTGCAGCTCTTCAGGTGGCCCACTTTAGGTCTCAGGCGAAGCGAATCGACGTCAATTAAACAATTGAGCACTCGTAATAAATATTATTATGACCGCCGCCCACCTGACAACCGCAAACAATTAAAGCCACCCACGCTCGAATTTAAAGCAATTTTGCCAATTTTATAACAATTTCCAGCTGAAAAGCGCGTTCTCGAGTGCGTCTGCGGGCGCGAGTGCGTGAAAGTAGTTAAAAAGCTGTCGGTGGGGGAGGGGGTGGGCGAAGTAATCACCGAGACATATGCAGGTGTATATGTGTGTGTGTGTGTGTGTGTGTGTACGCAAGCAAATTAAAATTGAAAACAAGCGAGAATGTAAAAGAGAGGCGGAGAGAGAGAGAGAGAGTACACGACTTGCACACACCCTGTAAAAAGCTTAAGGTTAATTACATATTTTCTTATATTGTCCTGCTTAATATTTTCTTTAAAATTGTTTGAGTTTTTCATACAAATACTAATACTAATACCAATAATTATTCTAGCTTAAATGTTTATTGTCATAATTTGTTTACTTGAATCCTTAAATTAAAAAGGTATATATATTGTCATATATTCTATTATATATTTCATAAATACATAATTTTACAAATTATCCTTGCTCCTTTCTAGTTTTATTATTAATATTTACTTTAACCTTTCAGTTATGGAGCCTTAAACTTAAGTTCTCATGAAAGCTTCCCCTTAACTTTCATATTTATTCTTAGTTCCATCTAATTTTAAGTTATGCTAACCTCTAAAGCATTTTACATTTACAGCGTATAACAGGCCTATTCATCTAATAATATTTACATTAAGTTCTTAAAGGTTATACCCCTCATAGCTTACCTACAGGGTATGGCAATTGTTGTCGTTGCAAGGAAAATAAACTTTGCAACAAGAATGTCGAACTATTTACAAAGAAGAGAATCGTGCAGAGCACACACACACACACACACACACACACACATGCATGCATTCATATGTGTGTGCAGAGGAAGACACAGGGCACATAAAGAAAGTTCAGAGTGCACACGGTGAAAGGAATTTCGTTTCGACGAGCAATATAATTTGTCAGTTCAAAGACCTTTGCACGTAAGCGCAACAACAACATGGTTAGAAAAGGATAGCAAGAGGCCGAGGAACACAGGATGCACACACACACACACACACACACACAAACATTAGAATCTACGTGCATATTTTGCCCGAGATGTTTACACTGAGAAAGAGTAAGAGGAAGAGGAAGAGGAAGAGGAAGAGCGGTAGACAAATGTGCCAAGTGTGCAGACGTGAGCTGCGCTCGAGCCGCGGCCCGTGCCGTCGCCTTCACGTGTTTCTCCACCCGTTGCCACGCCCACATAAAAAATGTAATCAATGTATTTTTGTCACGTTAACGAAATTTAGACTGCCTGCAACAGAGAAGGCAACAACAGCAACAGCAACAGCAACAAGAAGAAGAACATTTACTCTTGTGCCTCTAGTGCAGCTGCTTTCACTCGAAGAAAAACTCGTACTTTCACGTTTTTCCTAATCCAATTGCCAACACATTTCGTTATTGAATATTTCTAACTCTTATTCCAATTCAAAATTGATCCGTTAGCTTAAAAACAAGGGGGTTTATTCTTAATTTAAGCAAAAAGTTTGTCTTCTACAAGAATTCTCAAGACTCTTTCTATTTGAATTGTGCATTTAATATTTCGTTTTAAGCACATAAATGCTTGAAATAAGTTATTTTTACAATTTTTAAGACAAAATTTCTTTTCAGAATTTTTCAAAATTATTTTGTAATTGAATTGAAAGCCACAACACAAAAAAAAAAAATGAAAATTCTTATTTAAAGCCATAAAATCTTATAACAAGAATTTTCGTGCTTGAACGAAGCGTAAAACATTATCAAAAAGTTTTGTATTTGTGTGTTACACTTCATAATTTCGGGCTTAAAAATAAATATGCTTTAAATAATATATTTTTTCACATTTTGCAACTTGGTTTAAGTCAACATTTGTGCTTGATTTAAGTAAAAAAATATTGCTTGATGTTTTCTGCGAGTGTGTGAAATAAACATAAATTCAGCTGCTGCAGTTTCTGCTGCGCCGTGCAAATTTTGGCAACAGCGCAGTTGAAATCCGAGCGCACAAAGGATTCGGCATTAGGTACACACACACACACACACACACACATACACGAAATGTCACTGTCGCTTGCTGTAATTATCCTGGAAACTCAAATTGAAACTCAACCAAAATGTCGCAGCTGCCTTTGGCTCGAGCGTCTGCCGTCTCCCTCTCGCTTACGCGCGCTCTCCCGCTCTCTCTCCCGCTCCCTCTCCCGCTCTCTCTCCCTTTCGCTCGCGCTCACAATTCAATTGCTCAATTGCATGTTTGTTAGTTCATATAATACCCGAACCCCCTCACCCCCGCGCGCTCTTGGCTGGCAGTGATGTGTGCCTTATGCCACGACTTCCGTGCACATTCACCCCCCGTGCAACATGAACTGAGACTGTAGAAAACTTAAGTGCATCATGCGGCAGCGTCTGCCAGCTGTCTGCACCCCGGACTCCGTTGCCCCTATTCTAAACCCTCCCCACCTTCTCGCACACCTCGCCCCGTCTCAAGTAATTGAGTCAGACGTTATCTTCGCTGATGTCGCAACTATTTCGATATGCTGCATTGGTAAATTTATGAGCAGCGCATTTGCTTTGCCTTGGCTATTTATGGAGATAAACTAATTGCCTAACGGTGCTTTAAATGCAGCGCACACAAATACACAAATCGAACCTATCGATAACTCGACAATTGGCCAGCGTATGTGCCTTAAGTTTGGCATGCGAGTGCCCTGAAAGTCTATAAGTAGTTGTCGAAAGTTTTGGATTAGTCCATTTGGTTGGAATAGGAAAATTGGAAAAATGAATTTGAGTTTCTTTTATGTGGGTAGCATTCCAGGCAATTGCTATTCGAAGTCCAATTACCATTCCAATTTCCAAGTTTTATGTGACTTTCAAGCAGCGTACTAACCTTAAAGATATGTACGTACAAGTCTATACCTAGCCATAACTCAACTTGTGCTCAATTTTTTAGTTTTAGTTTTAGGCTGCAATTCTTAACTTACCCATAATTACGTGCATTTCGTAACCTAAACATATCTATATGGAATTCTTTAGCTTCAACTAAACATATTCCAATGCAACTTAAGAGATCAGCGTACTATCCTCCAGAGCTGTGGCATGCCAATTTTCATAAATCTATCTTGAGATATGTACGTTAAATTCCTAACCTAACCTAATTTCTCATTAACATATTCCGCTTGAGCTTCCAATTTTCCAATGTAGCTGAGAAATACCGTTTATCATAATTCTATCATCTGCTTATCGCAGCGTACACAGTTATAACTGACCAAACAAATCTCAAACATTCTTCAATCTTGTGACTCACTCGCACTTAAGCCAAATCTTGCGTGTGTCAGCGAGCCGAAAAGCAAAAAAAGAAGAAGAAGGTAATTAATAATAACAAAGAGCAAGAGCGAGAGCGAGAGGGAGAGAGCGTGATCTGTGCCGTGATTGAATCACATCACATCATCCGCACTCGCCCTACCTCTCGCTCTCGCTCTCCCTCTCCCTCTTTCCCACTCTCTCTCTCTCTCTCTGAGTCAATTTGTGAGCAAAAAGAAAAATAAATAAAATGCGCTTATAAACTGCAAAGGTATCGATATCTCTTTCGAATGCGGCGCGCAATACGACTCCTTGAAGGCGCCTCGAATTGCATATTATTATTATTATTTTAGAGCTGCTTCAGCGTTTTCGCAGTCAGTCGGCGGCGACGTCTTATCAGCAGCGGCGTCGCTGTGCCTCTGTGTCATCATAAAGTACAATGGTGAAAGAGGGGGAGGGGGCACATAGCAGAAAAAAAGCCATGTGCCATGTGCACTAAAGAAAAATAATTTAACGACGCGAATCGACGCCCCAATGAAATCAAAAACAAGCGCAGACAGCGATAGCGACAG